TCCCCGCGCCCACCCCGTCCCCGGTCACCCCGTCCACCCAGGCGCCGGTCACCCCCCCGACGGAGCCCCCCACGGATCCCCCCACGGAGCCCCCCACCGCGCCGGCCACGCCCGCGCCGACGCCCGCCGTCGCTGTTGCTGCGACCCCCGGCCCCGTCGCCGAGGTGACGCCTACGGCTGCGCCGCAAGCCGCGGCGGCGGCGGCGACGGCGGTGCCCGTTTTGCCGTCGCCGGCGCCGGTGGCGCCGCCGGCGAACAACGCCACTGCCGCGCCTACTCTCCCCGCTGTCGGGAATGTGACTACGGAGACCCCGGTCGGCGGCGGTGGTGATGATTTGGCGGCGACCCCGTCTCCCACCGTGCTGGTCTTGGTGAATAACACTCAGGCCCCGAGTTTTGACTGTGAGTTTGTTTGTTTGTTTTTTTGTATTGTAAGTGATTTTTTGTATCGTCTGCTCTTGTTGATAGGGGTTGTTCTGCAGGTGTTTTTTTTTTTTCGTTCTCTTTGTTGTTGTGTTGTCGTCGAGTTGTGCAAGTCAGTTTCTCTCGCTGTTTTTTTCTCTTGTGTTTTTGTTGGGCTCTTGTTGTTGCTGCTGCTGGCGTTGTCATTCCTGGGAAGTGTGGGTTCGTTGTGCCCTCTGGAGGGTGGCTGACTGACGCGGTGCTTGTGGGAGAGATTGAGCGCCCACCCCAGCGCCTGCGGAGAGAATGATCGTGTCACGCGTAAGAAACAAGGGTGGTGGGAAGAGGTGCTGGGGATGATAAAAGCCAAGCTCTTGGGCCGGGGGGGGAGCAAGAGGGAGGGGTGTCCAGACCATTTAAAAGTCATGTAAAAGCCGCGTCCATGTTGTGGCGCCCCTAGGTGGCTCGTTCTGTGCTTGCTGCCTGCCGTGTAGCAAAGGTGTGGACACGGCTGTAGGGGATTTCCGCCGTTCCGCCCCGCGCAGGACATGCGACAGTTTCAGGGAGTTGCTCATGTGTGTACGAGATTCGTTGTTTGCTTGCTGCAAAGCATGCTTGGAAGTGCCGCAAGAGAGTGTATGCTTTTGTATCTATCCTGTTCTTTTCTTTTCTTTTTCCGGAGTTCTGTTTTTTCCTGTCTGTAAACGTGTCTGTCCTATACGCTGCACCGGCCTTTCACGCCCCTCACACGCTCGACGCTGCACTGCTTGTGCCTAACCCCCATGCACGTGCAGACGAAGACGAAGACGCTTGCATCCTTCCGCAGAGCAAACCTTGCACGGAAGCGACGTCGTTTTCGAACACGAACGAAGGCATTGGGGACTACTACGAGCCGGCGTGCGAGCTGGTCGACGGGGAAGAGCAACTGGGCGGATGCAATGCCGGTAAGCCGCTTGGGTGTGCTGTCGGTTTGTGGGGGTTTGTGCTCGCGGCGGGGTAAAGGAATAGTGTTTGTTTGTTGCGATTGGCTTGTTGGGATGTTGCACTGTTATTTTGTTGTTGCTGTCGCTGGACGATGGTTGGCGTTGGCGTTGGTTGGGTGTTTTACTGATTATTGCTGCCGTGACTGCATGACGGTTTTCGTTGCCGTTGGCTTGGTGAGATATGATGATGTTGTGCGAGGTATTGTTGTTGCGTTCGCTCGATTGGTAGCGTTGCCGTTGCTGGCGTTGTATCTCGCCGCCGATGTTGTTTGCTACTGCTCGGCGGTGCAGTTGTGTTGTATCGAGTGGACCGCTATCTCTCTCTCTCTCTCTCTCGGTCGTGTCCACCCGTGAGTTACGTGCCTACCACCGGCATTTACCTGGCACTCGTGTGGAAGACGAGCGCGCTTTTGCTGTCGCCTGCCTGCCACGGAACGTGCCCCCTTTTCCATCCACCAGCCAGACGCTGGGCTCTCCCTCCTGTCCTGGACAAAATCACGCGTCTTGGCGAGAGGAGACAGACGCGTTGTTGGCGACAGAACACAAACACAAAAACAAAAAAACAAACGGCGCCGTGAATGATTGCGTTTTGAGCGTGTATGCGCGCGCTTCTTATTGTTAGCATCGACCTCAATAACCAATGACAGTACGTCAGTCTCAGTGCGGTTAAAGAAACAATCTAATCTTAAAAGGTTATGATGATGTGTGTATGTGTTTGCACAGACGCGTCGAGTCTCTGCCGCATGTGCTTCTTCAACACGCCTCTCTACGTGGAGAAACACCCGGACGAGGACCTTCCAGACTACCCCGATTGCCCGTGCTGCGTCCTGGACATTTACGAGCAAGACGCGTTCAGTCTGGACGGCCAGAGATGTGAGTCGATCAACGGGGGGAAAGAACGAAGCGGGTTTTCCGTTTTGCGTGCGATGTTGGCTCCCCGTGGGACAGTGGGACAGGCTACCCGTGAGACGGGTTACGCGTGGGGCGGGTTACCGGTGGGATGGGTTACCTGGGGTACGGTATACACATGAGACGGGTTACCCCTGGGACGGGTTTCCCCGTGGGGCGGGTTACGCGTGGGACAGGGTTGCGGTGGCAGGTTCTTGGGTGTGTGGTGAGAATAATTGTGATGAATGCGTCAGGTGTTGTTTGTTTTTACTTGTTTTTTTTTTCTTTGGCAAGATACGCATGAAAATTCCCCTCTCGGATGTGTGATGCAGGCTACTGCGTGGAGTTCTCAGCGGTTTGTCGCGTATTTCCTCATCGAATTCTATGCTTTTCTCGTGCTTTGCGGTACATACATGTTAGCTGCGTGCCCTCTCAGCTCCGGCTTGAGTGATGCTGCGCAGCTTCTCCGAGAAGAGAAAAAAAGAAGTCCTTCGGCAGAGACGACGGGCTTCTTCGAAACACCGTCGCTGGGTCTGTCTTTGTGGGGCTTGCAAGGCTTCGAGGCCCCCACCCCCTTGTCTCGACGGACCAAGGCGAAAAATTTCGTTTCGGACCCCGCGTTTCCCTCTGCTTGCTTTGGAAGGAGTGGTATGTTTTCGACTTGGCAACAGCAAGCCCCCTTATGGGACTGCCCCCCCCCCCCAAGGACAAACGAAGACGACCATCGCTTGACATAGCATGTGCAAATCTCAGGAGGTAACGAGACCTTCAAATCCGCACGTCTGTCACGAAGGAAACGAAAGACCAACCGCCTGCTGCCACGCTCTCGTATTCCCCTTTTTTTGTGCGCTACATAAGGGAGATACACGGAGGTGCGAGGATGCCGTCGTTGTTTGCCTACCTTTCGCCCTAGGGGCGACTGCTTTTTACAGGGTACCACTTCATAACCGGCTTCACCCCCCCCGTCTTAAAAGCTGCGCGTGCTGTGCT